TTCTATACTATTTGAGTCATTTTCAACAACAAAAATGCTGTTAACTATTATTTGTATAAGAAGAAATAAGTTCACTGTAAAAAAAAATACATGGGAAGTAAATAGAACATTCCAAATAACTTTGAGGGGGTGGGAGAAAGACCATGAAATTGCAAGATAAACCATTCCTAAATGAAGGCAGAAAAAGTTATACTGGATTTATTTTAGTTCAGCTATAAAAACAAAATAACACTGCCAAAATGGAGACTTAAAGTGTGCAGAGAGTTACTACCCACCTCTGATTTATAGGTATTCTTTATGTATTAGCTAAAGATTTATTGTTAACTTTGCAAATAATGAGAAAACAGAGAAAAGGTCCTTAAATACCAGAGTCCTGTGAGTGCAGAAGGGTTTAAGGATAGTCCAGGAGTCCTTGGGTTCATGAAGCAATATTTGTGCTTACTACAGATGGTGTACTATGGACCATTCTATTTCATAAAAAAAGCGCTGTTGCAACCCAGTAATGAATTGCCACCTGTAGATTGTGAACAGGTCTACAGTTAAACTTCTTAGTGATGGATGGACTGTTAATTGTCTTGTTCAGCTCACCTGTCGAGCCTCCCCTGCCACATCACCTTCTAAGGCACCCACTTCTCTACCCACAGCTCAGATATACCGCACCCTTCATTCATCTGGGTCTTTGCAAAGGTTGTTCCTTCCTGGGATGTTCTTTTCTACCACCTTCTCCATCTAGTAAAATACTCATCTTTATACTCTCTGCTTCATGGGGTTTCTCTTCCCTATTTCCTACCAGGCTGGGCAGTTGGCTGTGCCTTCTTCTGTAATCTCAAGTCACTGAAATTTTTTAATTTTTATTTCTGCTAATGTAACACACGCACGTAGTTTACAAGCTGTAATACCGCTACAAGGCTGGGAACAAAACACATGCCCATTTCACGCCAGTTCTGTCTCTCCAGAAGTCACCACTTTCAATTTCCTCCACCATTACTTTCTTTTTTTTTTTTTTTTGAGATGGAGTCTCACTCTGTCGCCCAGGCTGGAGTGCCCAGGCTGGAGTGCAGTGGTGCGATCTGGGCTCACCGCAAGCTCCGCCCCCCAGGTTTAGGCCATTCTCCTGCCTCAGCCTCCCGAGTAGCTGGGACTACAGGCGCCCGCCACCACAACGGCTAATTTTTTGTATTTTTAGTAGAGATGGGGTTTCACCATGTTAGCCAGGATGGTCTTGATCTCCTGACCTCATGATCCGCCCACCTCGGCTTCCCAAAGTGCTGGGATTACAGGCGTGAGCCACCGCGCCCGGCCGCCCACCATTACTTTCTAGATTTTACTCCTTATTGATAAAGAACATGCTTATGCTGCTGCTTTTTCATTTAAGACATTATCAAGGGACTTGCTACTGTAGAATGTTGAGTATTCATAGTTATCGTTACTGACTTCCTTTCCCTCTCCCCATTATGGATATATCAAACTTTTAGTTAAATTAACACTCAGTATGCCCATGAATATAACTATTGTTCACTTTGGATTAATTTTCTTTCTTGTATATCTTAATTTTTTTCTGAAATTAATGAATGCCTTTATTATTTGCTTCCTGATGAGGTGACTTTGGGCCAACACCTGAAAGAACAGCAGGGAACCATGGAGATACCTGGAAGATGAACCTTCCATGCAGAGGCAAGCACTAGTTCAAAGGTCCTGGGGTGGGACTGTGCTTGCAGCGTTTAAGACCAGCAAGAAGGCTGGCGTGGGTGGAGTCGAATGGCAAAAGGAAGAGTGGTAACTGATGCAGGAGAGGTGGCACAGGCAAAATAATGGAGGGCCTTTTAGGCTATGGTGACATCTTTGGGTTTTATTCTGAATGTGATGGGAAACCATGGAATATTCTGAACACAGAGATGACATGGTCAAACACCTGTTCTTACAAAAAGATTACTCAGACTGCTGTAACAGGCAAAGACCGTGTTGGAGTATGGGTGGGAGCAGAGAGAGCAACCTAGAGGCTATTGCCATAGTTCAAGGCAGAGATGATGGTAGCTCGGACCTAAGTGTTAGCAGCATATAAAAAAAATCCAAAGCATTTGAATTTTGGATATACCTTGAAAGTAGTTTGTAGATTGGATGGGAGTGTAAAGTGACATGAAGAACCTGTTAATTCCTGTTTGTCCCTCTCTAATTATAGGGAAAAGAAACTGAGGAATCAAGGACTTCAGTGACTTGTACCAAGCTATACACTATTTAGAAGACAGCATCTATCATATTACCTGGCACATAGTAGGCACTTATTAAAAATGAATTTTACTTCTGTTGTCTAGACTTCAAATCCAGTGTGATCATCAGTATTCTATTCCATCACTTCTCAAGTTACACACCTATTATTTATTTCAATCTATCAATTAATCAAATTAACCAAACAGTATTTATTAATGTTCATTTTGTTTGCAGTTTTGTGGAAACAGAAGTGATAACTCTGGTTATGACAACATCACCACCATCACCACCACCACCAACAAATATTTACTGAGTGGCTATCATCTGTTAGCTAGTTTTCACACACTAATCTCATTTAATCCTTGAAACGATGTAATGGGGACGGTATTACCATTACTTCCATTTCAGAGACGAGAAAACGGAAGCTCTGAGAAGATAAAATTATTCCCAGAGTTGGCCGGGTGCGGTGGCTCATGCCTGTAATCCCAGCACTTTGGGAGCCCGAGGCGGACAGATCACAATGAGGTCAGGAGATGCAGACCACCCTGGCTAACACGGTGAAACCCTGTCTCTACTAAAAATACAAAAATTAGCCAGGCGTTGTGGCAGGCGCCTGTAATCCCAGCTACTCTGGAGGCTGAGGCAGGAGAATCATTTGAACCCGGGAGGCAGAGGTTGCAGTGAGCTAAGATCACGCCTCTGCACTCCAGCCTGGGTGACAGAGTGAGACTCTGTGTCAAAAAAAAAAAAAAAAAAATTATTCCCAGAGCCACAAAGTTAGTAAGCAGTGCAGCCAGTATTTGAACTATGGTCATCTTAGGAAATATAAAGCCTGTGTCAAAAGAGCTTATGAAAGACGTTTGTCTTCTTGGCAAGGAATGATCAGTGAACAAGACATGAAGGTGCGTAAATAAAGTGGTTCTATCTTTTGTGTTCTGGAAATCAGAAACAGAAGACAAGGATCTGGAATGTAAGGTTGATTTTGAAATTTGGGTAAGATTTAGACGGAATGAAAGGAGAGGGGCCCTAAATGAGGAAGAGGGAGGGTACAGTCTAATCAAAGGCCTACAGATGAGCAGAGTGTTGCTGTGAAGGGCCAGAGAGAAGCCCGTCTGGCTGGAGGAAAGCTTCAGGCTCAGAAACAGTGGCACAGCCAGGTAACACTCTGATCCTGGCCTACCCAATGACATAGCAAATTTCTGTTGGAGAAATTTTGTGTTTTTCATTGCAGTAGAGGCTCACTTAAGAACTTGATTGGACTTGGACACCCTTACTTTTAGGGCTTCCCTATACCATATCACAAAAAATACAAAAATGCACTCACAGCTCACATTAAATATAATTGTTTTTATAACCATATGTAATAGGATTTTACAATGTGCCTAGTTGAGGCCCTGAGCCAATAGATGCTACATTCCAAAGTGAGGTATGAGGGGACTATGCAGAATTCAAGAAGGCTTCAGAAGATGAGCTTTTTTGACTCCAACCCTTTACTCTAATTGAGGATATAAGAGAGTCAGGAAGTTAGAGATTAGGAGGAAACTTTCATGAGGATTACTGGTGTGTCCCACCCACCATGCCTTCAAGGGAGGATGTGGGGCAGCCACCTCTTTTCGCAGAAAATATGGAAGGAGGGACTTCAAAAAGACTACTCAGTGAGCTCAACATGTTTCTCCTGCAGTTTGACTGGTACAGGGGACTGGGGTCTAACTTATATCCCAGAAATCTAGAGTGCATACAAATAGCGGGCTAGCCCTGAGACATGTGGGCAGAGTATTTGGCATGGGAGGCCTCTTAGAGCTTGTTCCGGGAAAGGTGGTGTGGGAATCTCCAGTGGACCAGATGTGAGCCACTTGCATGGCTGAGCCGCCACAGGTTGTTTTAGAACTTGCCTAAGTGTTTCGTTTGAAGGAAGAAAGGGAATTGCCAGACTCTCAGGAGAAGGCAGAGAAAGCAATCTGTAGGGGTGAGGTCCCCAGTGACTGGCAGAGGATCTCCAAAAAACATATGTGAGCATCTCAACAGATAAGGGGGCAGCTTTCCGTCCATCTCAGGTGCCAACTCATAATGACTTGAGTCTGACTGCCCCCTTTTTTCCTTCCACCTTTGCCTCTCAGCCATGGTTATCCAAGTGGGAAAAAAAGTTAAAATGAAAAATGAGAAAAGAGTGGCTTAGCCTCGTGCCCTCCCCACCTTCCTTCCAGAGTAAATTTATGAGTTTAATTTAGTTGACATACAGTTATGTGGTTGCCACTTAATTAAATACTTACCAATTTTGATTTTATAGATTAAAAAGTATATTTTGAGACTAACATCTTATTTTATTCTCTTTTCTTAAACATGTAACAAAAGAACCTTAAAGGGCTCGTGTGTCCTACAGAACCTAATGGGCAAGATGGTCCTGGGTTACTGGAGAAGGAAGATCTCTGGGACTGGATTTTGAAGACGTAAATTCAAGTCTCTGCTCTATTATCTAAGTTTATGGCTCTGGCCTAGTCCGTCCTCCTCCCTGGGCCTTGGTTTCCTTATATGTGAAGTGAGGAGTTTGGATCAGCTGACTTTTCACGTTCTAGATGGTTCTAAGATTCCCATCTCTGGGTTTCATTGGTAGCTCGTGGAACTGAACAGACAGTCCTAAGAAATATTTGCTTGCTTAATGAGTAAATCAGTGACAGCTGGAGCCCACCCTAAACCCTCCCAACACTGTCCTTGCATCTCTTGGGAATGCCAAGGTGGTCTCTGGGTCTACCAGCCCCTGAAAGATGAGCAGGTGTGGCAGACAGTCCTCTTACCTTGTTGAGGGTGTTTAGGGCTGCCTGCGCTGCCATGAGTGCTGGCTCTGCCTTTGCCAGGTCCTCCTCACAGTCCTTCTGCTTCTGCTTCACCTCTAGCATGATGAGGGCCACCTTCTGCTCCTCCTCATCTGCCATGGCTTTCTCTCTGCTCACTTTGTCAGTCTCCACACCCACCACCTGAATCAGTTTGTCTGCATCTTCATTTTTCTGCTTCAGCTCCACTTCCTGGGCAGCCAACTTGGTTTTCAGATCATCCACCTGTGTTGGAGAAGCACAGGACTTATCAGGAGTCATGACCAGAGGGACTGTGGGAACTGGACTAGTCACTGGCCTGTTGGGCATGACCTGACTCTGCGGAGCAGAACAGATGACAGCTCCTGATACAAAGGTACAAAGCTGTGCTCTCAGATGGGACCAGGCTCCCCTACCTGGGTTTCTTTCCCAGGAACTCTGGATGTCCTCTCTCCACCATAGTAAATGTGCTGGAATATTCTAAATTACATGTGCCCTGACCTTTCTTTTTTATTTCTTCTTTCTTTTTTTGAGACGGAGTCTCACTCTGTCACCCAGGCTGGAATGCAGTGGCGTGATCTCGGCTCACTGCAACCTCCGCCTCCTGGGTTCAAGAGATTCTCCTGTCTCAGCCGCCCAGGTAACTGGAACTACAGGCATGTGCCACCAAGCCAAGCTAATTTTTGTATTTTTAGTAGAGACGGAGTTTCACCATGTTGGTCAGGCTGGTCTCGAACTCCTGATCTCACGTGATCTGTCAGCCTTAGCCTCCCAAAGTGTTGAAATTACAGGCGTGAGCCACACATCTGGCCCTGACCTTTCTCCTTGATGACAAAATGGCTTAGGCTGCTTCTCGCTGACATTGGTAGCTATAGCTTATAAAGCTTCATGTACTTAACATAATACTTTTCACAGAGTAGGCCCTAATTTAATTAAAAGTGGCGAATGTGGAGTTTGCCAAAGATTTAAACAAGACACAAAAAGGAAATGTCTACTGTGAATCCTGAGAGACTGAACGTCCACATGGACAATGACAGACCATATATAAAAACTGACCTCTGATCCACAATCTGAAGCAACCTGCCCAGGAACCAACCCCTTTTCTACAATAACCAGCCCAGGAAGCCAGCTTGCTAAGTCAGACTTGTAGGAAGTCGGACTTCTATCTCTAGTAATATTCCAGGAAGACAAACAAAAACTCCTATAGCAATTGGCTCCAAATGGCCAGGACTTGATTAATGATAAACAACTTCCTTAATTTTTATCCCAGCTTCCAACCGTGGACCAAGCAGAGAAAGCCAAACATGCTCCCCTAACCAATCACATAGAACACTGGACTTCCAGTGAGCCCGCCTACCGCAGGGTATACTGGAAGCCTTCCCTGTTTTTACTATAAAGTTTTTCTACTTTTCTGCCTGCCTTTGAGTGGCTAAGCACAAGTGATGGTGGCTGACTTTCTTGCTAGAGCCAGCTCTGAATAAACAGCCTTTGATTGTTGTCATGTGATTGGTCTTCATTTGTTTACACAATCCTTACTAGAAATAGATGGCCAGATTAAAGTGGAACAGTAAGAGTCCCAGTGGCCAAGGCCAGCTGAGTTTCCCATCCAGCCCAGCCTCTGAAGTCATATGTCACCTGGAGGCAGTAATAAAGTGATGGGAATATCAGCACCTGAGAAAACATCTATTCTGCTCATGAGCTGGGAGGGAAGGACGGTTTTCTATCTACATTCAGATCAGCTGAGTGATGTGATCCCTGGACCAGCAGCATCAGCATCACCTGGGAACTTGTTAGAAATGCAGACACTCAAGTCTTAATCCAGATGTACTGAATCAGAAATTCTGGGGGTGGCAATCTGTTTTAGCGGTGACTCTGATGCCCATCTAGGTTTGAGTGTCATTGGCCTAGTGTAATGGCCTTTTCAGATGCAAAGGAAAGACACAGACCTATTTATTTCTAGAAAGTAAAGAAGCTATTTGTATTTGCAATATGGTCCATAAACTTTACATTCCAGAATGGCCTCTTGCCTCTCATTTTTCTGCAGTCTATTTCATGCAACAACCAAAGGTTACTTCAGAGCTCCTGGAACACATCAAACACATTCAAATGCTTTGTGATGCAAAATGCACAAGGGGAAAAATAAAACTGAGGCTTAGACGCTGCTGATAACTCCCTTTTCATGGCAGATCAAAAGAAAAGGAAAGAAAAGGGAAAAAAGAGAATGCTCTTTAATTTTGTGTATTCACAGAAACAGGAGACATTGTGTTAACCTCAAATGGAGGCCTGCTCCCTACAACTCGTCTTATATTCACGAGTTGAAAGGTTAATCCGTTTCCATCTCCCGTTGTTCAGCTGCAGAGAGTTATTTCTACAGGGACAAAGATGCAATTGTAAATCAAAATGATTGAGCGGCATAATCACTTCAGTCAGCAAACACACCAGTAACTTTTTGTTCCTTTTTAAATCTTGGGAGATCTGAGAAAATTGAAGTGGCTTTTTTTTTTTTGGTTGTTTTGTTTTGTTGATTGCAGATATGGCTTATGACCTCAAGCCCAAGGTAAATAGCCACCAGCACTGTGAATAGGAGCTTCACAGCTCTTAAACCATGACGTGGAGTGACAGGAGGGTCCCATCAGTCAGAATTAGGGCTCCCCCAACCAAGCTTCAGAGGACGCATAATCAGGTTCATTTTATGGTTCTTCTGCAATAGAATGAGAAGTTGAAATGGTCACTTTACATCTTTCTCTTCTCCCTTATTTAAAACATCCCAGCTATACTTTGGAGGTCTCCTTATTTAGACACACCCACACTTGGATGGGAAGGTTGAGAGGGAGCATGCCATAAACACAGAAGAGACCCTTTTCCTCAGCCCTGCTGGTCCCCTGAATCGGGACCATAGTAAATGGTGCTGAGTGAGTGCGGTGACAATGCAGTGGTGGTGGGTGACCCTCCCTTCTTCAAGGAACCAGGCACATGACGCTAAAGAGAGCAGTCAGGCTTCCCACGATGTTTCTGCAGTGCTCCAGTCAGCTGGGGCATCAAACTGAGAAGGAACTAGAAGAACTGAAAAGGATTGTTTTCCCTGCATTGCCTATGGGGGAGAACTCTCTTTCTTCAGGCAGCTCTAGGATTTGGGGAAAGATGGGATAGCATCACTGGTGCCAGAGAAAGAGAAGCAGCCTAGGGCAGTCAGCAGCAATAAATACTCCACTGAGGGCTGGAGACTGTTACAGTTTGGATATTTGACCCTCCAAACCTCATGTTGAAATTTGATCCCCTATGTTGGAGGTGGGGACAAGTGGAAGATATTTGTGTCATGGAGGTGGGACCATCATGAAGAGATGAATGCCCTTCCTGTGGGGGTGGGTGAGTGAGTTCTCACTTTATTAGTTCCCTTGAGAGCTGATTATTTTTAAAAAGCCTGGCACCTCCCTCCCCTCTCTCTCTTGCCTCCTCTCTTGCCATGTGATATCTGCACACATTAGCTCCACTTTCCCTTCCACCATGGAAAGAAGCAGCTTAAGGCCTTCATCAGATGCAGACGTTGGTGCAGTGCTGTGTACAGCCTGCAGAACCATGAGCCAAATAAACCTCTTTTCTTTATAAATTGCCCAGCCTTAGGTATTCCTTTAGCACAACATAAACTGGACTAAAACAGAAACTTAGAGATATTTTCCTGCTTACTCTGTGTCCATATAGTCATCCAACACTTTCTGATACGAATTTGCATTTCAAGGAAGCTTTCCTTTTAGATACAGATGTCCTACCTAGGCCTGTAATATTTGCCTGCCTAATAAATGTTCACTTTTATTCTGGTTACTTAGTTTAAGTTTCCTTTGGAGAACTCCCACTTCCAAATCCTTATAGTTTCACTGGGGTATTCCAGCTGTCATTTGATCCTGCCTTGCCCATTGAGAGTACCCAAGTCACAGAGATTCTTTAGCTATGGGAAAACCAAGATGTACAGAATATCATGCAAGTCTCTAGCTCCAGCCCTGTTCAAATTAAGCTCTATCTCTGACTTTTCAGTTATACGAACCAATTCATTCATTTTATTTTGTCGTTTTGCCTAAACCAACTTTAGTTGGATTTTCACTGGTTGCCATCAAAAAGGTCTTGATAACTACATCATGTAATCTCAAGATTTTCTCTTTCCTCTCTTTACTTTCCCTCCCATCCCTTCCCATCTTCCCTTCATTTTTAGTTTTTTCTCACTAAATGAATTTGAGTTAGAATTTTCAGTTACAACCAAAAGAATCCTAATACGTCATCATGAATTATGAAACTTTCAACTTCAGGTAAGTTTGATGACCTGAGACTCTTTGAAAACCCCAAGATAAACTGAATTTAAATTTCCAGATTGACAGATGTGTAGCTGAAGTCCTATATGTAGGCAATTGGCAATGACCTTCAGGTCTTTTATAAACATTTCTTCAATCCAACAACCCTCTCTTCCTCATGACTACACCTGAGTTAGATGTAGGTGCTGGGAGGACTGTGGTCTCTGTGCAATGCCAATGAGGGACAAGTGAAACGCAAGTCAGGAAAGGGGGACCTGGCAATGTCAAGAGAAAGGATGCAATGACACCAGCTGTGAGACTTCAGCTGACACTGATGCAAAAACAGAAGATGCCACCTCCAGATCTGGTTGGACCAGCATTTGTCACCAGAGCCAGTGAGAACTGGAGGGGTCTGCCAGGATGTTTCTTCACACCTTTGGAAACCCAAGCCCACCACAGAGAGAAGGAGGAAAAGACCCTCCAGAGGGAAACAGGCCTGTGGGAGAGTTTTAACTCTGAACTGACTGCTCCCTAGAGACTAAGTTTTTAACTTGATGTGACTACGTCATAATGCAATGCAAGATTAATATTAACAGCTTTCTACTCTTAAATGAATAAGATGGATCCAGAGCCATGTTGAATTCAGCTACAGAAAAATAAAGTTACATTTACGATCAGCTCTAAGAATGAAATTATAAGTCTAAAGTTTATGAACTTTGACCAGGTGTGGTGGCTCATGCCTGTAATCCCAGCACTTTGGAAGGCCCAGGCAGGAGGATCACCTGAGGCCAAGAGTTTGAGACCAGCCTGGCCAACATGGCGAGACCTACTAAAAATACAAAAATTAGCTGGGAGTGGTGGCACGTGCCTGTAGTCCCAGCTACTTCAGAGGCTGAGGCATGAGAATCGTTTGAACCTGGGAGGCAGAGGTTGCAGTGAGCCGAGATCACAGTGAGCCGAGATCAC